TTTCCGTAAAAGTTGTATTTGCGCATAGCGCGATAAATCAATCGATGAATAAAAGAAAATCGCCTTATTGAAATAACATGATTCATACTCTTTTATTACTGTTTACACTGGATGCAGAAGCGACATTATGTAAATTCCATCAGAGAAACGGATCGAAAAAAAAAGAAGTTTTATCATTGTCATTTCCGCTCGTGTTCGCACACAGTCTGACCTAAATAGCATTCCTCATTTTCCGGCTTGGTCCCATTCACGATTTTCCTTTCGGATTATGTTATCTCGGGATCAACGGTTGGTGGTTTCTCACGCCGTTGCTTGGACCTACCTGCTAATTCGACAAGACCTGTCTCGATCGGTTCTCGTTATCTTTCACGCGCGGTGACGTCGTTTACAGTATCGTGCCCGTATCCTAATCTATCGGTCGGGGTTCCCCAACTCGAAACGAGAGGTGATGTTTCTCCTGCTCCCCCTCTGTCATGGACGTGACAATATTTGTCGCGAGACCGAGGCGAGAGCAATAGGTGCGGACGCACGTTATTTGCCCTATTCCCTGTGAGATGCCGTCTGTTTGCCGAGGCTTTGTTTCCACCAGTTTCCGTTTCCTGCGCCAACACGGCGGCTCTTCTGATCCATCCGGTCAACCGAATACGCACGACTGCTTTTGGATATCAAGATAAGCGACTTCTCGGTACGCCTTCAACTCCTGATTACAGCCTGACATCTGATCTCTGCGTTTCCGTTTGTTCATATCGCTTCTGCGGTAATAACGCCAGAAGAACTGGAAGAACACCGGAACTTTAGGTTCTTACAAGAAAGATAAACTTTAGTACTGATATACATTTAATCTTAATATTAATTACACGATTAGTGAAAAATGTAATAACTGAGTAAATGCGACTCGACAAAATAGCAATTGCAATTCTTGCGAATAAAATTGATAACTTTTGCGATAGTAATTTTCGAATTAGTTTCTTGCATTATGTGTGGAGTTATAATTATACATATAATACATTACCCTATCAATTATTAAAAGTAAACTAATTTAACTATAGATACTGTTTAAAAATTATTAAAATTGTCACAAAAGGGATGATTTTTCAAGGTTGCGAAACGAAAATGACAAAAATGGCATTTGCAATCATGTTGCAAATATATTCTTTTTGTCGGATATAAAGCGCATTTATCGATCAAAACGCGTTCTCTAAATGAGCTCTTAGAATATGAGCCCTTACGTTTACATTTTATTACATTCATGCAATTTTGAATATTTTCATAATTAATAATATAACATTATTAATAATATAATATCACATTGAATTCACAATAGAAAAAAATATGAAGAAATGTCGATGGGTTTGGATAAAACATGGAAAGTCTCGATGTTTATCAAGTCAATCGACTTCAGTAAATTTGTTGCTAATAATTACTGATTACAAGATTAAATTAAAATTTTAATTAATGCAAAAAGGAATAGATCAAATAACTTTAAAATTGTTTTTAAAAAATGTGCATATTTTCTTCTGCATTAATTATTTGAATTTTCTATTGAAAATATTTGCTCATTGTTATTTTTTTTCAAATTTTTTGTGATAATTTGATACGCGAAACAGAAAAGGTTCGTCTACATAGAAGTCGTAAACGATTGTACGGTTTCAAATCGTAAAAAATTGATCAATTTTAGTCGAGTATTCTCCTCATATTTAACTGCAATTAATCAGTTTCCTACAACTTAAGACTTCACGATCGTCTACGATTTGTATGTAAACGAGCTTTAATTCATTTATACGCGACTGATCGTACATAATTGTCACGTTTCCGGTTCTCAACCGGATAATCAGAATTTTTAACAGATTTTCAGCGCGTGATGAAAAAACGATGACTAACTCGAGAAAACTCCAGTCTTGAAGAGGAATTTCCAATTCAATTTTTATGACCCTTTTTTACAAAAAGCAGTAAAAGATTATGGTCCTTTTTGCTCTTTCGAATAAAATATAATGGATACTGAATACCTTATTTTTTCTTTTGAAAATCGTTTTTCGGTAGAGTGTGACAATATTAATCTCGAAATGGCAGCCATTGATTTTAACCTGAGCAAATAATATCAACAGTTGCATTATACAGTGTATAATTTTCTTGCTTTTAATTTATATATATTGAAATGTTACATATTTTTAACATAGATGATAAATATGTCGATAAATAAATATAAATACATTATTATACATATATACACATTACACACACACATATATGTATATATTGTATAATCAAACATAATTTGATTAAATTCGACATTTGCTTGCGACATTAAATATGCAGAAAACTTATATAGCTGATGAATCGATATAATTAGTAACATTGAGTTCAACTCTATCGACGTTTCAATACCATTCGCCGCATCATTATTTTCCACCAAAGCAGTTAAATACTTTTGACATCGGCAATTTATACAGCAATCAATATGTATTCCTAACATGCCGTCGTGCACGTCAAAAATTCTCAAACATCTCTTAATCTGTCGTTTAAATCGCCATCAAGGCAACACGAAGACTACCCTCTATTTACTATTATCCAAGTTCCTATTGTCATTCCGATGCCTTTCCATCTTTGGCGATGCGTTTTCGCAGGCTGAATCGCGGTGGCCACACAGCTCCGGTATACGGTGAAGTCGCGCCGTATGCCAAGCTCGTCGGCGTCGCCTTTGTTGCCAATCGCTCCCTCGTTTTCTTCCTCTTCATCGTCCTCTTCTTCCTCTCTTCATCGTCGTCAATCCTCTTTGCCGTTCCCGAGGAATTTTTCCACCACTCGATCATCCTGGTGACTCGTGAGGGAGGCGATCGTCCCGTCCGCATGGGATTGTCCAATGAAGCGATACCGCGAGATCTCGATGGGCGGCGCCCGGAATCCCGGCGATGGCTCTCCGGCCCGGCGACTTCGTGGTGGGGCCCCGTGGGGCCCGAGCGGGCCGCCTGGTGGGGGGATTGACATCGACTACTGTGCATTTCCCACGTGCCCTGGGAACCCCCGCGGCATCGTGTCAGCCCCCGCTCTTCGCTTTTGCACGCTCCTTCCACCTCCACCTTCTCCCACACTATCTGCTTCTCATCGTCAGCGGCAAGCGTCTTTCCTTCTGTCTGCCTGTCTGTCTCGCTTTCTTTTTCTTTCTGTCTCTATCTCTCTCTCTCTCTCTCTCTCTCTCTCTCTCTCTCTCTCTCTC